GAAAAGGGATGGGGACAAGTACGTTGCGATTTCCAAGTTTCCTGCCTGCCAGCACCTCAGCCACACACGAAACGCCACGAACGGACACCAACGGTGGAGATGCCAGTCAGTTTCAATATCTTTGCATCTCGAGGTGGTAGGCACATTTCATACTTCATGCTGTCCAAGCGGGTGGTCGAAGTGCTGCTGATGCACCATTTGTGTGGAAACCTCATGCAGCCGCTGGAGGCGCCTTTCTTTCGAGTTGGAATGCGGCAAGTGGATGCTTTTTGCTCGCCTCACAGGAGATGTACCAACAACGGTACAGGGACCTTGAGCTGAACCGACCCCTCGGACCATTCCATTGGTTCCAAAGGGTCGTCATGCGCAGGCACAAAGCTTGTCGGGAATTGTTGGGAGATAGGGTCGGTGGCCGCAGTCGCGAGAGCCAGGCGAGAATCCCAGGAGAAGTGGCTCAGCTCTTTCTTCCCGGATGTTATGCTCCTCCTGGCGATCGGAATCTGCGCTTTCTGCTACGTGTGGCAGATGTTGAGGAAAAAGGTGGATTTCAAAGAGTTCCAGGAAATCTCGGATTTCGTCCTGGACTTGGATGCCCCGAGTTGGCCGATACTCCTTGCGGACACCATCGCCTATGTCTACACCATAACGCTGGTGATCGGCTTCTTACTGACGACTTTGGAGTCGAATGTGGTGGCAATTGCCTGCCGCCAGCGCGAGTATTTTGTGACTCTGTTTTTGTTCATGGTCCTTTGGGGCTCGAACTTCCTCATGATCCTCTTCGATCGCACTCTTTACACGAGCGTGGCCCGGCAAAGGAAGGGTGGGCGCCACTGACCTCTGGGAATCGGACCCGGGATTGGGCTTGCCATGGCTTCCCCCAAACTCCGAACCTGGACTAAGGAACTCTTTGCGCCTGGCCTGCGTACCACTTTTTGGGGTCAAGGGCAGAAGAAGGGTGTCCAGTCGGGAAGCATCCCATGGCCTGTCAGGCCTGGGGATCTCCCGCATCAGCACCTGTCCGGACCATCGCTGCTGCCTCCCAAGTCTTTATTACCCACTCCTCCGCTCCGTGGTGGCACATGGCCAAAGCCTCTTCTTTCGTTGGGGTCGGGTGTGTGCCTTTGTTCCTTTGTTGGGGGCTTGGACCTGTGGCCAAAGCAACTTGCTTTGGGAGTGGCAAGGTGATGCTGGGAGCCGTGCTGGCAGGCCACTCTGCACATTTGCGGAGGACGCCGGACATGACCTGGAATGTGTGTTTGACGAAGATGGTGCCGAGGCCAGGGCAGCAATTAAGCTAATGCAGGCAAGAAAGCGGTCGAGTTGGACAGACCACAGGTAGAACAGCAGCTACTTTTGCCATGCACAGTCCGCCAGTCCGTCGCCAAACGTGCAGATTTCGGTGTACCCTCCTTGCCTTCGCCAGTTGCGTCGTGCTGGTTGCGATCGCTGCGTGGAGCGGGCTGGCAAATGTCTACCACCAGCACCCCGAGTGCTACCCGACCGAGTACCATTTATTCTCGGAAAGCTGGGCGTATTTCATCAGAGTGCTGCCCGGCCTCGGAGGCTCGTGCCTGCTGATGATGAGCCAGCTGTCACACGATAGAGGGGAGGATGAAGATGATTCGGACAGCTTCGAATTTATGTCAGCGTTGGCCGCTTGAAAAGACCAGACTCCCTGGAAGAACGCGCCCGTTTGCCGACGAATTGTGTCATGAGTTTGGCACCTAAGGATTATGACTCCACACTGATCGCTTTGACGGTGGCACTGGCTGTGATCATGAATGCAAATTCCGTTTTTGAGATTCATGGACGCATGATGGTTGCGCAGTACGTGTTGCGGGTCATGATGGCCACACCACACACTCACGGCAGCTGCAGATGAAGATTGCTCAGGATGGAAGCTTCTCGCACCTTGGCGACTGAAGTTGGGCTTTCACTAGTTTATGTCTCTTCCTGCACATCGAGGAAGTACACGCCTATCAATCCGCAAACAAACGTGTGACGGTTGGCCGACTGGGCATGCGCCTCAGGTTGCGAGGGCTTTGTTAAAGGGAGTGCCTTGGGGGACGTTTGGTGGAGGCCCCAATGTGCCAAGCATGGTTTTGGCACAATCTTGGCAATCTCCTCGAATACGGGGCCCAATCTATGCGGGGCCTGCTGAAGGAACCACTTGAAGTCGCAATCCCAAAAATGTTGTTCCATGTTTTTCCTTTGTCCCCGCCTTTCCAGATCCTTGTGCAGTGGTTTTCTTGCGGGTCCACGTTTCAATGCTTTCCCCCAGCTCATCAGCTCGCTCGAAGGGATCCCGGGCAGCACGGTGGTGGCGGTCACAGAGCTGCTGGCGCCGCTGGGCCTCTCCACCTTCACCTTCCACGCCTGGAAGTCCCCGCCCCGGAGCACCTCCTCCGCCAGGCGAGGCCAAATCGGGCTGGCAAGTGAGAAGGGGAAGCTCCCCGCAGTTGTTTTTTTGGCCTGCGGGTTAGAGGGGGTGCGCCCTTTATGAAAAGCCCCTTCCTTGGGAGGGAAAGGCAGGAAGACCGAGCCCGTTTTTAGGGTCCGTTTGGGGCAAGTTTATGCGCTACGCTATTTTAAAAAAGAAGGTTCCCCACATGCCAGGCTAGGACCTTGCTTTTCGAGCCCCGCCAGCTATTTGGTTGCCCAACTTGCTACCTAACCGAAAGTCAAAGTGACACAAGTAAAATGTATTTGGGTTTAATGACAAGCCAGGCACATCCAACGAAAGATGAGTGTTGATTCTGAATATGTTGTTCCTTTTCGATGGTTTATGCTTCGCATGCCAAGACCAAGAGACTCTGTCTCTTGATCTGCTCGTTTTGGATACTTTTGAAGGGGAATCCGCAAAAAGGGCCGCCGCCTGCGGTGCCAAGGATTTGGCCAGACCCGCCTAGGATACTCCAAACCACCCAACTACCAGCTGTTGCTTTCTGGATCCCCTGGAGCAGGCGGCCTTGGGGTTGTTGAGGAACCCTGAGCAGTCCGAAGTATCCGATTGGTCAGGTGCTTGGATCTAATGGAACTCCCCGACGCAAAATGGGGGGAACCATGGGGAAGCCCCGAAAATGAATGGGGTTTGCTTCCTCACATAGTAGAATGTGTTGCGCCAAAAGACGAGTCTCGTGTTCAAAGGGCACATTCAAAATCCTCACTGGAACCCGGAAACAGTTGTGATCCGCCTATTCCGAAAAGGGGCGCTCCCCGAAGGCCCGCAAGAGCTCACAGATTTGCTATAAGACAACTCGCATGCGTGGCCAACCCTTGAGCACCGGGAGCATTTGTCAGATGTTGGGGACAGCCTAGATGGCAGACCCGCGAAGGCACCCAGGAACCACTGGCTGAACTCAGTGCTAAGGAGCGCGGGACTCTGGCTGGGCTTGGTGTGCCTCGGTGAAGTCAGCCACGTTTTGTCAAACATTTGCCCACGCAGGCTGTAGGAATGCTCACTAGGCGCCAGATGTCGTCGGGGAATGTTTTTTTGGTGTGCTGAAGGCTGGCGGGCGCCATGTTCATCAATTTGCAGCCGCTTGGCCTGCCGGCGAAGGTGCTGTTGTAGGCGGTCTCCATGTGATGTGCCCCAACTCCCCCTGCGAAGGATTAGCGAAAAGCGCGTTTCCTGCGCGGGGTCATCGGTCCTGTGGCTATCAAGGGCTCAGCTCCCAGGGCAGCACTTCCCCAGCTTGCAATGAAGGGAAAGCGCACCTGGAATTGCGGCCGAGCGTAGTACTCTAAACCCTAAGCCTAAACCCTAACAGCCCTAAACCTAAACCCTGAAAACCCCTAAATGTAAACTAAAAATCCCTGAACGCCATACAGTATACACACACGCGTAACAACTCAAGGCTAAACACAAACCACCCTAAACCTACACCCTCTCTAAGCCCTAAACCTCAATCCTGAACCCACCTTAGGCCTAAACACGCCCTAAATCTAAACCTTAACAGCCCAAAACTGAAGGCCTTGACCCGGCAAGAAATGTCCGGTATTGCATGGATTGGAGGTTTCATTCTTGGCAGGCACCTGCCTTGGATTCTCCAATTCTTCCCCATAGTTGAGGCTGCAAGGTTACGGCCCTTGATCGTTGCACACGTTTTGGCCTGTTGACCGTGTTTTGTTTTGCGCGGGCTGTCGGCGCGGCTGGCTTTCCACTGCCCTAAGAAACTCACCGGTGCTTCCTTTTGTGGCAGATGTGACACATGACAATTCAGCCTGAGCCAATCACCCGCACCCAGCCGGCTTTTCAACAAAGCCCGTTGGGGCTCGGCCCGGGCTTTGAGCCCAGCCGTGGCGAAGCAAACTCAGGGCTGCAATCAGAACTGACAAGTGACAAGTGCAGCTGGATGTTGCAATCCCAGGATGGCTGAAGACTGTGAACTAGCCTCAGCAGCCTGGCCCCAGAATAGCCATAGGTCGCTTCAGGACAATTCATTTTTATATTCTGCTCTGAGGACTTGCCAGGTTGCTGTTCCTATCCTGGCATGCCTGGCTACAACAGATTCGAGGGGAGGAACCTCAAATGCAACAAGGACGTCCGGTGCCTTGTCACCGAGCATGTCCTGCCCTGCAATCTTGGAGACGTGGACAGGGAGCCCGCACCTCAACACCTTTTGCATAGGAACTTGCAGCCAACACTGCCTGCGTAGGGCAATGTGTTGCCTCAATGATCCCAAGGTCAGTGAACATTACGGCCTTGAAGGATGGGGTCATATTCAATTCCAGCACGTGTGCCAATTTGAGAGAACGGTGGACTGAGCAACTTGCAGCAGTGATGAGTTGTGTTTGTTTTATTTGTTTGCGTGCTTGTTCGTTAGTTTGCCTGTTTGTTGCGCTCATGAATCCAGACGGCAACTCCAGTGCAACCTGCTCATAAGGTTCAGCTTTCAAGACCAGAACGGTTTTTCGTATGCAATGCAGGCGGGGGAGATACGTGGAAGATGGCTCATTAGCCGCAGTAGCTGTTGCAGGAAGCGGAGCACGAGGAGCAAAATGAGTCAGCCGCATATCGGCTCTTCAAGAGCATTGGACAGGCTGCTAGCGTTGAGCAGCTCGGCATTGCGATTCGAGCTGTTGGCAGCTGATGTGCCGAAGCGGAGGTTTTACTTCACAATTGTGGGGGTGCTGGTGAAGGTGATTTTCCTTTCGCAACACCCCAACTCTGCCGCTCGGCATACCGGCGCATGTGGAGTAGCCTCAATATGGAGCAAGTGCCCCGCAAACACGCGCCCTTGGACTGGCATGAACATGTTGGATTTAGCCACTCGTGCTTTCCTGGTCCTTTTCCCAGTATGCAATGGCACGGAGGGCCCTTGTCAGAGCAAGTTCCAGTTGGAGTAATCCAAGTGAGGGCTATGCGCAAAAGTGCACCTTTGAGCGAAAGGATCGGATCCTCCAGCTTGATGTTCACCACCACCAGGCAGGAACGAGACCGGCCCATGTGCCGGGTGCAGGGAAGTTCCCCGCGCTCGTGTTCAGGTTGATCCGACCACCGGGGAGAACGAAGTGACCTCCTTCCATTGCGAAAGCCACATGCAGACTCGTGCAGACTGAGACGGGGTGAAGTTGTCGATTCGCGTCAGCCGCCTGCAAAGATGTGCCGGCGAGGCACTGGGCCGAAAGGCGCCTTTGGGCCTCAGGGGCTGCCGCTTTGCGACTCCCGCGAAACGGATAGGTCGAAAAGGTCGAAGCGCGGAGGGGCACAGGGAAATTGGAAATTCGTGGAAGATCATGGAAAGCCAGAAAGTCCTGAGCAAAGGATGGAATGAAGGCAAATGGCACCAAATAACTTTGTATTTCACCGTGCCTTTGAACCCCTAGTTGCGCCTTACATCTTGGACAATGCCACGCTTTATCGCAGCGACACGCAGCGACTGGCAGTGTGCAGGATCAGGAGGAGGTCGTCCGGCAGATCAGGCTCGATGGCTTGCAACTTGCTTGCCATTGGCTCGTTAGCTCCTTGTAGGAACTGCTTGGACATCCCCCTGTCCATCATTTTCGTCGGCATCGGAGTGTCATCGGACTGGCACAGTCTTTAGGCCAGGGGTCGTTGTGGTGCGAGCCACTGGCAGGAGTTTGCCTTCCTCAAGGAACTGTCGAAAGATATCGGGAAGATCTTGCAGTCTGCAAGTGATGAAGGCAAGGGAGCTAGGGCGAGTGCTTTGACCTGCTTTGCATGTCACACTGATGCCGGCGTCGGCTTTTGAGAATCAGGGATATGAAGCTGCTGACGTTGCCATCCCAGCTTCAAAAGCCAGCTCATCATAGCTCATCCCAAAGCTCAGGCACATCACAGAAGCTTCATATGTCCTTCATGTGGTCTTGCTTCAGGTTGACTGGCAGGCACACATGTGGGACCTGAGAGGTTTTCGAAAAGGACTAATTTCAGTGAAAAAAGCAGGGCTCAGCGCTCAAGAAAGCAAACCGAGATCATGTTCCAAGCTCCGAGTTGCCCCGCATCCTGCCATGGCATCTTCAGAGGGTGACGCCCAGGCAAGGCTTAGCTGCAAGGGCTAGCGTGGAATTGGTTGCTTCGCTTGCCTGTGCCAGAACAGCTTGGCTATGCAAGAACTTTATGACTGTATTGCCTAGTTGTGTGCCTTGAGCTCAGAGGTTTGCCTATGAATCTCCCTCAGACATGCTTCTGGCTGCTTGCATCAGGCACGTTGACATTTTTTGGTTCATTCCAGACAACGCTCTGCCGCGCACCTATCCTTCGGCCATGAATTTGCATTTCGGAGACAGGTCGATGCCGACTTCCGAGGTCGCACTGGTGCCCCACTTGCCGGGTGGCGTTTGACGCGGTGCGGGCGCACCCGTCCTGGCAGCAGCGGACGCTGCGCTGCTTCGGCGGGGAGCTTCTGGAGCTCCGCGCGCGGCCGGAGGAGTGGCGGCGGCTCTTCCTGGCGCTTTCCGCCGGCGCCTGGGCGGAGGCGCTGCAACGAGGCCTCAGCCCAGAGAGGAAGCACTTGGACTACGACTTCCCACGTAGCCCGGACTGCGAGCTGTGCCGCGGCTGAAGAAAGTTCGGGTGAACTCTTGTGCGAGAGGGGCTCATGGGGCTCCTTGATGGTTCCCAGTGGATCCCACCCTCCACTTTACGACTGGTGCGAGCCTTGCACCTCGCGCCAGGAAATGGTCTTTGGTTGTGCCGCAGGGCCTGGAAGCGGCAGCTGTGCTGCGCTACGACGGGAGCTCATGTCGCTTGTGCGCAACTTGGCGGCTTGTGGATCATATAGAGCCGGGAGACGAATGGAGAGTCCTCGTCGATTTTTCTGGGCCTTGTGGGGGTCTAATTTGGGAGGCCGCCCCGCCAATCTTGGCACACGGGGTGGGGGGGGGGAGAAGGAGTCCCGCTTGTCGAGGCGGTGCCAGTCCAATATCCAGTAATCTAGTTACTTTGGCGACTTGGGGGACTGACGAAATTCCCCACGACTCATTCATTTTCCATTGTCCTTCAGGACTCCAGGCTTTGAACTGTGGCTCATGAGATTTGCCCCGAGGCAGTTGACTCAAGCAGCGTGACGCTGTGGCAGGGTGAGGGTGAAGCCAATCCACCAGCAGTAAAGGCAGCTGTCGGACCCAGCAGCATTTTCTTGCTGGCACGCGCCTCTCATGCGACTCGGATGACTTGAGGCACACTAAACCCTATCTGACAAGACCATGTATTGGGACCGGTTTCCGGCAAGTGTCGCAAGCAGTCGCAACTGCCTGAGATCGACATCTTCGACTTTGCAGGCATATGGGTGGGAGACTCTCGGAGCCAACGAGCATCGCCAACCACAACTAAGACTATAACCAAGCCCCAGGATACCTAAAGGGGACAAGAACCAGAAAGAGGTGCAGCCTGTTTTGAGTCCTTTACACGCATTTTCTTATAACGTCCTTTGGCGGCTCATGTTGCCTGTCTTTGCAGCCAACTCGTTTCAAGAAATCTCGCGTCAATTGCTCCCACTTGGCCTCAGGAGTTAGCCCAGGATGAGTCTTACAACCTTCTGGACATCTCCACGGACCTGTTCCTGGCAGACGGCAAGCTGCTTCTTGAGACGGCGTGGGGCTTGTTGGCCTGGGACACGGCTGACACGGCTGGCTTGCAGTTATGCAGCATCGCCCCAGAGCTGCGCGGCTTTGGCGAGCTTCGGCCCCAACTGTGTGCATGTCCGCGCGTTTGCTTTTCATTTTGTTCCTTTACGACCAAGTTGACGCAGCAACAAAGGGAGCCCAGTTGCAACATCAGGACGGCGAAGTCGCTCCACTTCAAGGCCGGCCCTGCGGACGTGATGTCGTTGCCCTTTGGCCTGAAGAAGGCGCATGCCCAAAATTCAGAGGCGGCCCAAGCCCGTTGGTCGCTGCCAGGAGGCCGTGCTGTTCAGTTCTGGCTGCTGGAACGCGCCCCCTGTACCTTGGAGCTGGCAAGGCCGATTTGCCCGCCAAATAGGCAATTTCTAGGAAGCATTGATTCCTTTTGCCCATGTCCGCGATGATCGGCCTAGGCTTGCTGCAGGAGTGGCTGCTGGACGGGGTTGACTTGGTCACATTCCAGGCATCTCCAGGGGAGGGCCTGCTGGTGGCGTTGGACTCCAGCAACGTGCTGCGTTTGGCATTGATGCCGAGGGACCTGCGGCAATGGCACCTGGTGGAGATCAAGCGGTGGCCACTTCTGCCCCCACTGGGCCAGGTCTTGCCTTGCTCTGTGGCGGTGAGATGCGGCGTGCTCGGCTTTGTGGAAGCGGCCAGCCTGGAAGCTCGTAACCGCACGCTGCACGTGTGGAAACTCGCGGAGTTCGGGCAGCCATTACCTACGCCACGGCACTTGGCCTTTCCCTTCTGCACTTCAGGGCAGGCAGCGGTATCTGTGCCCAGGCCTCTCTTTGGGCGCTGGATGCTGGTGAAGAACTGCTGTCACATGGAGCAAGGCCGACGCCAGCTGGGTGTCATGCTCTTTGACCATGAAGCGCATGAAGGCCTCATCTACCACGAGGCCATGGAAGCCGATGACTCCACCCTGTTCCGGCGCTGCCACCCTCTGGCGGACCTGATCCTGGGCTTTTGGACTCCCGCTGCTTCTGGCCAGCGCCTTTTGCTCATCAACTTGGGGGTCACGCAACGCGAGGAAAAGCGTCAGAGCGAGTTGCAGCGCAACTCTTTGAAGACGCACCAGACATGCCCGTAGCACATTGCAATACAGCAACCACAACCCCCAAATGGGATCGCTTCAACAAAAGGGATCCTTTTGAGGACAATTGAATGAAACCAACCAAGGAAATCCACAGCCGAGAAGATGCCCTGCAGCACAATCATGAACAGGCAGCTTTTGAGTCAAGCTGCGCAGCCGGACGCAGGTGAAGCGCATCGTGAGTTGCAGCTGCGTCAGCTGGCGCGGGACATCGAAATCTCGCTCGGACGTCGGTTCGGCGCGTGGGAGGTCCACTTCATCGCCTTTAAGGACCATGCGGACGACCCCCGGGAGCTGTCTGCAGCCACCCTGCCCAGCACTCATGGGGAGATTCCGTACCAAAGACAATAGAAGACATCCACAAAGAGGGCGCCAATACTGCCGGGCAGGGAGCGACGGACAAAAACGGCCCGTGCTATCAAGGGCGCATTTGCCGCGAGACATCGTGCGCTATTACATGGCCAATGGCATCAAGTGCTGCGCTTAGCGGATCCGTTTCTCCAGTGCCTGCTGTGAGCAGATTTCACCGACCATGCCGTTCGAACTCCCAACCCCATCACTTCAACCTCAATTTCGGACAGCTCATTGGTACCAATTCCTATGGCCGCGGCTACGGACTTGTCACGTTTCAGTCAGGCCACGACAGCTGCAGCGCTTCGAGGACAAGGATGGCGTCCCCTACCCAAAGTTCGTGCCGAAGGACTGGGTCAAAGGGCTGTTTGGTTTGGGCCCCCGGGAGAGAAGGCGCATACGGCGTGTCCGGCTGTTGCATCACATGTCGCTCTGAATGCCAGGAGCCGGTCTCCTCTATGAAAGGCGCTTGCAGTGGGCCTTGTGGCCCATGTACTAGAACGCAGGTTCAAGGGCTGCGGTCGAGCATGAGGCTGTCAAACTGAACACCCACACATGTCGCATGAGTATGTCGACAATGTGTACCTATAGATGTATATATGAATGCACAATAATGCACAACCATGACAGTACCGTGAGGGGATGTCAAAATCGCCCCAACAGGTGTGCCCATGAAAGCTTTGCGCATCCCAACATCCTCAACGGGCGGATCCAGAGAGCACTCCAAGGTCGGAGGTTTAAAGCTCAAGCTGCTCAAATGTCCGCTGCCATCGAAGGCGACAGCATCCAATAATCCGTCGCGGGCAGCGACCAATTTGCCGGCAGGCAAATCTTTTGAGCTTTTCGTCTCTTGTGCAATTTTTGAGCGGTCAGACACTAAATCTCCGCACTCCAACACACCGCTGCGACCTCGGTGCGTGAGCATCAAGCTGTTTTCTCGCACAAGCCAGGGAGTTGAGGACATGGTGTTGACACCTTGTCACGGGCTGGTTGGCCCAGCTGGCTGAGGACTCAGTCGAGGCTGGGCAGCCGCTCCAAGGATATGAGGCGGGGCTAGGCAACGGAGGGCGTGGTTTGAGTCGTTTTGGCCAGGGTGGAAGCCTACGAGACGGATGAGGAGCCTGAGCCAGAGCTGCCAGAAGAGGAGCGTGCAAGCCGTATGCAGCAAGCGGCACTGTTTCCGAGCTGAGTCAGGATTCGGACGACGACCAGAAGCGAAAGCGACTCGCAAGAATCGGTCGCTCACACTGGCCTTCCAAGCTAGCAAGGCTGGCGTTGAGATTTCATCGCAAGGACAGATGCTGACAAGCTCCCGGCCTATCTGGAGCAAGCCCATCACCCGAACAGCTGCAGTTGAGTGGCAGGCTTTGCTGTTGCTGGGCTGGAGGCGAAAGGCGGTAATGCAGACTTGTACGCTGTTGGCACGAAGTGGTGGCAGTGCGCAAACGGACACTTTGTTCATGGCTGCATGTCCCCAGCATCAGGAAAGAACTCGTTGCCTGGCCGCATTGCCGTGCCAGAGTTTCCTGTGTGCCTTAAGTCAGCACATTAAATCGCAGAGGCCTCATCAACAGTGGAGTTGCTTTGGGATATGATGCTTGGTTGCACTCAGTGGATGTTCGTGAATGATATGGATGCGGAGGGGCGTGCGTTCGTACATGGGTGAGTGTGTAGGCTGATCAGACTCACTTTTGGTGGCCCTTGGCCGGCCGTGCTAGGGAGGCACCCCCTCTTTCAATCAACACGGTTCGTTTGGAATGGTGTACGTCACGCCAATGGTACGTGCCCTTGAGCAAAAGTCCCACAAGGGACAAGCTAGACCTTTGTGGATGCATTGACGGCATCGGGCAGGTCCAGGGTTCCTGAATAACAGGAAAAGACAAATCCATTGACAGTTGTATGAAAGGAATTATAGAAGGAACTTCCGTTGTATTGCAACTAATTGAAAGCTCACTGCTGGGCCATTGACAGAACACGGGAAGACTAAGCAAAGCTGAAACACATGCGTGCGCGTGTGGCAGGGCATAGAAGTATCCAAAGTGCTGCCAGCTGCGGCTCTGGGCTTTTGGGTGGTCGAAAGTTATCCTGATTTCGAGGGACCATTGGCACGGACGCGTGCCCCATTCGAGTTCGCGTGGCAGAAGATAGGTAAATAGGTTGATTCGACACATTGAGATTAGTTAGATGGATCGATTGATGGAGAGATGGAAAGATAGAAACAAGAGGCGAGAAGAACAGAAATAACGAGAAAGAAAGAGAACCAAAAGAGAGAGAGAGAGAGAGAGAGATAGAGAGAGAGAGAGAGGCAGAGAGAGACTGAGAGAGAAGGAAAACTCAGATAAAGAAAAGAGCAGAAATAACAAGAGGAAGAAAGAAGCGAGAGAGAGAGAGAGAGTGAGAAAGAGAGACTGAGAGCGAAGAAAGAGAAAGATAAAGAGAAAGAGAAAGATAAAGAGAAAAGAGCAAGAGAAAGAGAAAGCGAGTGAAAGGGCGAGAAATGAGACAGAGAATCATAGTTCTCTCATTCCTATACGGGTCTGGTAGCGCGGCTACATCCAGCATCCAAGCACAGTTTGACTCTACCCCAAGCGAAGAATGCATATAATAGATTCAAACCCTGTACAACCCAGTTCCTTGACAAGACCGCCGCGTCAACATGCAGAGAGTCCGTCCGATTCCTTTGAGGAGAAGTTCAGGATTGTGCGGGCAATCCGGGACGGGCTTCCATCATCAGCCCTGGATGCACCTTGGCTTTCAGATCGAAGCTGGCGCCTTGCAGCGGAATCCTCGCCTGAGGTACTCGTCGATAATATTCTGATTCTTGGCTGGGAAAAGCGGCGGATGTTCTCGTGGGGCCGCTTCAGCGAATGTGGAGACCAATCAGTTCAGGCATGGCGGTTATGGGGCCTCGAGCACTTACAAGGATGCAGCGGCAGCCGCTCTGTCAGATGCATCTTGTCCGGGTTTTCGAGGTTTCTAGAAAGTGCACATGCTTTGACGGTCCAATGCTCGCTTGATGGGCCGCCAGCTCACGACAGAGCATCACACTGGACCCCCTGCACGCTTTTGCGTGTCTAAGGCAGAACTGGCCACGCTGCCAGGCATGAACAGAGGGGGTATCGTCGAGCCTTGGCCGCCAACAGTAGATGGTGTCCTTCGAAACTTGTTGGAGTGCGGCAATACGCGTCGTGCCTAGGATGCCTCGGGCAATGCTTTGGACAGGACTCACCCCCGCCGATTCGAGCAGGTGTTTGTGGATGGTTGTCGGGCGGGCACTTGCCGCAAAAGTTGCATCAGCTGTACGGAAAGACGGCCGCAAAGGAGCCGAGTGAGGACAAGGTTGAGAGCAGGCTCCGACGATGATGATGACGACGTGGATTTCGGAGAAAGGCTGCTTCATATCACTTGGGCTTTAAGTCATCTGGTTTTCTGATGCTAGTCGGAATTGTCGTAGGAAGCTCCATGCACGTCAGCATCACATTTGAGTTAGTTCATTTGTCTTCAGAAGGCTTCACCATCACTGGGCCGAGTTGATTCGAGTTTCAGTTGCCTTGCCAACTATCCACCTATCAGCAGGCAGCATGTTTGCAGCTTGAATTCGTCGTGGTGTACTGGTTTGCTCGTTGTTTCAGAGACTTGTTGGTCATTTTCTGCGATCATAGATGATCATGCAGCCAAATGGCGAGTCCACGTTTTAGGGGAATTGACCCATCAAAATGCTAAGCATGCACGCTCTGGGCAAGCATCCGCGTCTTGGGGAGTGATGAGGACAAATATCATCCACGTTTATACACATACGGTCCTACGGATAATATACATTATATCTGGTACTTTGGCTAATCTGTATGCAACAAACACATATTATGTCTATTTTTTGCATATAGATTAGCCAAGTACCATATGTACGCATGACTGAGGCTCCGGCAGCTCGCCAGGCCCTCCAAGGCGGTTGACCGTAGATTGGACTGCCGACTAGGCGCGCAAAGCTGCGGGAAGGAAATACATGTGTGTTTTTTGGAGTTTTGTGATGCCATGCGCTCACACGCACAGCCTGTTTTTTTTCTACCCTCCCACCAACTAACATGGAAGTACAAAAAGGCCCTTTCCAAGAAAAGGTAGTTTTTCTACAGGGGTCTGTGCACTTGGGTCGGAGTGCTTGCCTTGGGTTGGGCATTTCAGGCTTTGTGTGCGCAGGACTAGTTCCACGTGACCGGCTAGAAACCAAGCAGGTGGAGGAACCTGAACCACAATCTGGCGGCAATAGGCGTGAGTGGCTCAGAAGTCGCGTTTTGATTCGGCTCGTTTCTTACGCTCGACCCAGGTCGGGGGAGCACTTTGTTGTCCCAGCCCAGCAGTACCCAGGCCTTTGGCGCGGAAGCCTTCTCCGCTCTCTTTGTTCATCTCAGGCACCAGTGCGGATCGAAGACGGCTCCGCTGCGCGGACGTTGTTGGAGCTGTCTGCGTCCCGGACCACCAGCAAGGCGCGACGCGCGGGATGGGGCATGCGGCCGGGGATCAGCGGGACGGGGCCGAAAGCTGCCAGGAGGATCACAGCCCGTCCCCGGTTCGAGGCACTACCAAAACCCTGGAGGAGGCCGGAAACTGAGCAACTGAGTGAGCGGTGCCGCGAACGCAAGTGGCAGGCTGCTGGCCGCTTGGGGCGAATCAATAGCAGCAGTAAGGGCCCTGCAGGAAGCAAAGGCCGGGACGTTCGTGATCCAAATGGAGCCGAGCCATTCTTTGGGTTCAGGCGTTCCAGATGGGCTCGAAGGGCGCGCTGCTCACATAGCGCTGAACAACGCCCTTGCAAAGATTGTTCACTGTTCACTTGGTTCAAGTGGAGTTGATGAAATTCACTTCACCAAGGTTCCAAGCGATACACGAAGAAGACGAGCTCCCAGTGCTCAGTGCAATCCTTGGGATGTCTCTATTGTGCAAAATCTGAGCTTCGGGTGGCCTGGAGCTTTTGCCAGCCATTTTGCATCACAAAACACCGGTGTCTCACATCTCCACAGCTACCCCAAACCCTAGAATGTCGCCCCAACTTTTGTGGTCCATGGGAAATCCCGTGGGGGATGAAGATCATCAGCCGCTTGGGTGCTGAGGCACCGCCGAGCCATTGATGAGATCCCAAAGCGTGGACAGCGCCTTCTTGCTCTCAGAATAGCTCCAGCGTTCGGAGAAGGAGCTGGTCAAGCGAGACAGAGTACTTCCAGTTTCACCTGATGCAAGCGCAAGCCTGGTGGAACATGGTGAGTATGATGAGAACAAGGTTGATTTTTGCATTGCTGGTGTCTTGCACATGTTAAATAGTGTGTTTTGTTCACGTGTTGTTTCATCATGTGGCAAAACGGCCGAATGGCCGTTTGGCTCAAGATTTCAACCTCCCGTCAGGGCAATCTCGGACCCACGTGCACCCGCCATAACACGGCGGCACTCTTCGTCCCCGAGGTGAAAACCGTGGG